AATCATATTTTCGGATGAAATGAAATTGATGATAGACATGATTAGGAGAATCATAATTTATAAAGGCATAAATTGATGATAGACTTAATTAGGAGAATTATAATTCTTGATGAAATAAAATTGATGATAGACCTAATTATGAGAATCATAATTTATAAGGGTTAAAACGGTCAAGAGAATTATCATGTGGATAGAATATTAGAAGATTATGGAATATGTATATATTTTTATAGTAATTTTTGTAGATGGCGTCATACTTCCGCTTAGGAAATAAGATTATAAAGATGGAAATTAGAGAGGTGGACGGATCACTAGAATCTAATAGATGGATGGAAGCTGCGAGAACGGAAGCGCAACAAAGATATGGGGAACTCCTGCAGGAAGTACCCAGACAACGATTTGAACGAAAAATTGAACCATATTGGGTTAAGAAAAACCGCCTAGAATGTTGGTCGTGTGGAGGGATTCACAAGTTGAGGTTCTGTCCAATAGCAGTAGAGACCTCAATTAACAATACAACGTTACCGGTGCGGGAGAATGGGGAACTAACGAAAGATGCGGTAGAAGGTTAGTCTCAAGGGTGGAGGTGTTAGATTTGAGTAAATCATTTGAATATAAATTATATTTTTATATAATTAGTTGGTTTATGAATATGTTATCGACGATTGTAAAGTATTAATTTGAATATTCAGTTTAGGAATTAATTTTTTTATGAACTTTAATATACTTGTAATTTTTATTATTTTTTATGAATTTTTTATGTACTTGTAATTTTTTTTGCATATTAAAAAATGTATATAATTAGGATAAAATTTTCAAATAAAATAGTTGTCTGGTTTTATAATTTAAAGAAACTTAGTCTTGTTGTGCAAAATTCAAGATATAAAATTTGGTTTAGTGAAAAACAGGAGTTGTAAGATTTATTAACAAAATTATTTATTTTTTTATACATTCTTTTTTATTAATACCAGGTTCCATTAAGTTTATTAAAGTCTTTCCCACAAGCCTTCGACAAATAGATTACAATTCAAATAAGGAATTGTAACATTATATGAAATTATCGTTGATATCCAAATTTTAGTAGTATAAATAGTGAGATCGAAAATGTAATAATTGAAGGGAAGAAAAAGAGAATGATATATAATTTTTACTTTATATTTAGATTTAATATTTTTACGTTTTAGTTTGTTATTTAAATAATTTTGATTAACTATCTATTATAATAAATTAATTATCATCTCCAATTTTGATCATAATAATCATATATGTTTGAAACAGTATTGGATTTAAAATAAAATAATCCAATGAATATACACAATGTGATATCCTGGTATACAGATATGGTTATTATTTTTTTATCGTATTCCATTTTGCGCATATTAATAGAATTACCTGAGGCGATAATTTGTAAGTACGACCTGTTGCTGCTATGGGACTAACTATCGTTTTAATAGCGACCATCTCTTTCCCTCAATCGTGGGGTAAAAGAAGAATGGTGATAGCCCATGGGAATGTAATATCTCCTCAGTAAAATCATTCTTTTTTATTACTGTTACTGTGGCTAACCACCAAAAATCATCATAAATATATATGTGATTGGTCTTTTATTTAGGACCATGGTCTGGTCTGATCTGGTCTGGTCTTTTTTCTAAGCATATTTTTATGACGATTTTTGGTGGTTAGCCACAATACTAAAAAAAGAATAAAATTACTGAGGTGATATATATTTCTTATTTACAACCGCATGGACAAACATCTTTCTTTTACTCCACAAGTGACATCAAATAATAACGATAGTAGATCTCAACAGCGACAAGACATACCTAGAAATTATGACCTCAGGAAATTCCATTAATAAGCACAAAATGAAATATGATAAAGATAATCGAGATATTTTTTATAATAGTTTTGTATATAAAATTTTAAAATATGTTTATTTTACAATACAGCGTCCAAATAATAATCATATCCATATGGGCTGCCTGCTTATATCGCTCCAGGACATTAAATTTTAATATCAATATAGTATATATTTTTTTTAAATTATATTATATTGTTTTTATATAACGCCATCTATATTATATTTTTTATTTATAAAAATATTAATAAAAAAAGATCTAACGCTATCGATTTTTTTGATTAAACAGTTAAATATTAAGGTAACGAACATTCCTAGCATCAACATCCAAAAAAAACCCCTTCTCAACAATGTTGATTTTTTATTTTTACCGGGAAAAAGAGAACACGCAGAATATTTTTTGATATTTTCCAATATAGAACTTTAAGGGCTATAAAATGATATAGATGTTGTATATTTATCTTAAATATTTTTTTAAAAAAAGATTTAATAAAATAACGCATTACACGATTTTCACTTTGATGACGTATATCATTCGATCTGATTGAGATAGCTTTCTAGAATTTTGATTTTACTAAAATGTACGGCATAGATAATTATCATACCAAGTTTCATTTATTTTAGAGATGGTCGTCCGAAAATCTCGTTTTTTTTGGTTGATTTGACAATGTACAAAATTACATTCATTTTTTTTTTAGTTTTTTTGAACTTCTATCCTTTTAAAACTGGATAAATTCATAGCTTATTGTTTTAACTTTAATAAAATCTTTTATTTATTAAAATTTCTTTAAGAATTAAAAAAATATCTATTGTTACACCCCATGTACATCGTATATGGTGCTCAAGTTATACATTGTATCTTGTAGCTGCTATTGATCTACGAGATTTTCAACCTATTATGATAAAATATAATGCCCTAGGTAGCCCAAAAACGACAGAGATTATTAGAAGGATATTAGGGCATATAAAATTATTTATATATATATATCTTGTATCACTAGGAATAGTCGGTACAGCTGCTTATTAAAATTTAAAAATGAATAAACCACTTTATGAAAAAATTAAAATAGATTTTCTTTCATAATATCTCAAAGACAAAATAAACAGTCTAATTGTTGCTACTATGGCTAGTTTTAAAAAATATTAAAAGCTTAATTGAAATTGAAACTACATTTTTTGTCAACCTATACTTCTTATCTTTTTAAACACCGATGAACTGTAAGTTAATGTTGAAGAGAATAAAACATCCATTAATAAGTAAAGTATTAACTATTTTAATAATGTGGAGAATGTGCCAATTAATTCTACCATTGACGAAAATTATCAAAAATGCTCAAAAGGTTGAATTAGAAGTAATTATTTGAAAGGCGATGGGCATAATACAAAAATTTTTGAAGATGTTTTCTAAATTAGATATTTGATCAAATTTTACCTAAAAATGCCATATATTTTTTGTTAAAAAATCTTTTATGAATAATTGTAATTTTTATGCATAAAATGTTTTTCATGATGAAATCACAATTTTTCTTAAATCAAACGACTGATATTGATATGATAAGAAATATCAAAGATATTTTTCTTAAATATAATATATGATTACCCTGACCCATAGTGATGCAAAATCGCTCCACTCAAGCCGACTCCAAAAGAGTTTAGCCGAGCTTATAACTGAAAAAATCGGCTCAGCCTGGGTGCGCACTTAGCCTTGGAGCTCGAGTCAAAAAATCGGTTTAGGCGAACTCGAAATCGGTGTATTATCTCTCAATCGGAACTTATCAAATCCCAGCCCGATCCCAGAATTTTTTTTTTATTTTTCCCGAAAATTAATTTCAATAGGTGTTAAAAAATCTTATTTTGTTTACCCCCTATATTGTATAATCACACTCATTTCAATGTAATATGGGGATGGTAATTTTATTTCATTTTATCCTTTTCAACTTTATATTATCAATGTTTAAAGATGTCAACGGGAAAACTTTTTTTTTTAATAATGATTGTTTTTATCATTTTAAAATTTATAAAAATTCAAAATTAGTTAATATAATATGGAATTTAAATCCCGACTTTTTATTATTAAAGCATAACAAATTTAAGAACAGAAAATCAAATAGAAAGAGGTAATTGAAAATTTTGATTTTGAAATTATATATAATTAATTCTTAAAAAAGTACGTAAAAAATATCTTTATAAGGGTACGTATTTTCTATAGAAATTTAAAACAAAACAGAATTATATAATAATAAAAACGCAAAATTATGTTTATAGGGTCGGTATTTTCCATAGAAATTTAAAATAAAAGCAACACTATACCCATCCTTATTTTTCAATAGTCAAATATAATATAAAAGTATAATTATACATTTAGTTCCAATTTTGAGTGATAATACTTCGAGTTCAAGGATGAGTCAATTTTTTCGGCTCGCGCTCCAAGGTTGAGCCGATTTTTTAGGCCCGCAAATCCAAGGTCGAGACTATTTAGGCTGAGCCGGTTGAAGTGGAGCGATTTTGCATCATTACTGGCCCGGGCTACTTTGATTATTTTATTGAGAAAAATAAGTTTTATCTATTTTCTACCTTTTATTTACATGATTTTTACATATGTATATAGTACCTGTATTCGATTTAAAAAATTTATAAACCTTTCTACTAGTGAGGTCGGTGAAGTCTGACTGGTAAAAAAAATTTTTATGAAGGGAAATAACATTGCTTAATTCTAAACTTTGAAAAATTTACTTAATTTTGGCTTGACCCGATAAAATATTTTGCACAAGTTGTGTAATACCATTCTTTGATTACAATATATTTTTTAATTATATTTAATAAAACGATTTTTTACAAAATTTGTCCAATTTCTTTGGAGCAGGGGTAGTGTTGTTAAAAGGCACGATTAACACTATTTTAGCTAAAAAATATTACACAAACCTGGAGATTTCGCTCAATGGCAGAAAGGTTTAAACATCTATAAAAAAATCTTGAGGCTTGTATATTATGTTGGCTAATATCATAATTTAAAATTGGTAAGCCCTTTAACAAAATTAGACTAGGGGCATTTGAAGGGACTAGGCTCTTATATGCCACCCTTTAGTTATGGTATATTTATTTTATCAATTACTTAAATCAATAACAATTTTTATATTATTAGAGAGCGGTTACAATGATATCAGCTCATGAAAATCCTGTAGCAGCGTTGGCATTCAATAATACTGGTAGTAAAATAGCCACTGCTTCTGAAAAGGTTATTATACTTTAATGAAAATAAATAAAATAAGGAATGAATGAATAGGGGATAGATGTAGAAAGCAATGGAAGGAGAAAGGAAAAAAAAATAAAAATAATATATTAAACTTAAAACATAATTTTATTATATTAAAACATATTATAGGGAACTGTTATCAGAGTGTTTTCTACCACTGAAGGCATTAAATTATTTGAATTTAGAAGGGGAATGAAAAGGTAAACAAAAATTGTAAAGAATTCTTATTGGAAATAAATTTATAGACGAATTATTGATCTTTTTAAAGGCAATATTAGAAATTTTGTAATTTTACACACATAATGAAAACTCAATTTTGGTTCCTCTCTACCAATATTTTATCAAAATACACTATTCTACAAATATGATTTGTCATCCTACGCAGTTTTATACGTATATAAAAAAGAGATCAGTTCTGGATTTAAAAAAAAGGTTTTTGGCTCGGCCTGTAATATATTTAAAATATATTAAAAAATAGCATAATATATAAAACTATATTAAAATAAGGTTATTGCTTAAGTCGAGGGGTGTATTATTTTATTTTATTTTGTTATTTTTTTTATGTTATTTTTTTTATGTTTTTTTAAATTAATATAGTATTATTTGGTGATAATTTTTTTTGTGATTAATTTTAAAAATATTGTTGCATATTTTTATTATTTAGTGATAATTTTTTTCTTTTTTAAAAATATTCCTTAATTCCGAGGGAGGGGAGGAGGGTAGAAGAATTGTGATGAGTCAATTTTATTCATTAAATTGAAATATAGTCTGATAATCTAAGCAATTTTAGGAAAATTAGCATAAAATCTTAAATTTTGTATTTATTAGGGGTAAAATAGACCCCATCTTTAAATTCTAAGTGATTTTTTCAACCTTTGTTGGGAAGGGTTAATTCGAAATAAATTGAAATATATTATTGAAATTTATACAAAATAAAAATATCGAAATATAGTAATAAACGAGTCAATTTTATTCATTAAATTGAATTGTATTAAAATGTATACAGTCATTTATAAATAGAATAAAAAGATCAAAGCGATTTAATAATTTATGTTTTCTAAAATATCTATATTCAAGTAAATATTCATGAATATTCTCTCGATCCCCATGTCTTTTATAGTTTTCCTTAAGATCCCGCCACAGTCTTTCGACTTTTTGGGTGTGAATGGATCTATCATTTGGGTCAACGAAGTTTCGGGAATGATTGACCCTATAATGGAAATAATTTGTTTGATCCAACCGATTATATCTAAGATAAATAGATTTAAATATATTACTACTTTTGATTTACAGAAAAATATATTTACATACCCTAACCATGAGTCAGTCATTATCGTGGAATCTTGCATAACATTATCTTTAACCACACGCAGCGTGGTATCTTGATCCCTCGTTGTTGTTGCACTTAGAAATATTTCATCCGTCTCGCGACATATGCCACCGATGATCCATATAGCCTCGGAAATCAAATGCCGGCCACGATTATATTTACGCTTCCACACATGAGTTTCATCTATTTCGATAACTCTGCCAGGCCCCCCGATCTTTGTATGATTCGAAGCTATATGGAACCCACATACCTTGCGAAATTTTTTAAACCTATATAAATTAAATATAAAAACCATATTTTACTTTAAATTACCATCCAGAAATTGCATTCCTATGATAATCCAATTCCTTCGAAGCACTTAAAATTTTATAACGGCCTAAAAATAATTTTGTTCTTTAATATTTTTTAAATAATTACTACTTAAATACAGGTATACTAGTCTTAAAAATTTCCCAACGTCCTGAATCCCTTCAAAAATAGAATCTAAAAATTTGTCATTTATGATATAAAATTAGTATTACATTTCCATATCGAATATGATCTACGACATCTATTGCATCGATATCGCAAACTATTCTTATTTTTTTCTACCCGCATTATGGAATTGCAACAAGTATGCTCTATTCCTAAAGGGATTAATTGATTATTAAGGCAAAATTGATAAGTTGTTTCAACAGTATTAGTAAACACACTTAGTGTAAAAATATTCATTTTAAAAGAAAAAAACGGAAATAAATTAAATCTTTTTATCTTAGATATAATCGGTTGGATCAAACAAATTATTTCCATTATAGGGTTAATCATTCCCGAAACTTCGTTGACCCAAATGATAGATCCATTCACACCCAAAAAGTCGAAAGACTGTGGCGGGATCTTAAGGAAAACTATAAAAGACATGGGGATCGAGAGAATATTCATGAATATTTACTTGAATATAGATATTTTAGAAAACATAAATTATTAAATCGCTTTGATCTTTTTATTCTATTTATAAATGACTGTATACATTTTAATACAATTTTTCAATTTAATGAATAAAATTGACTCGTTTATTACTATATTTCGATATTTTTATTTTGTATAAATTTCAATAATATATTTCAATTTATTTCGAATTAACCCTTCCCAACAAAGGTTAAAAAAATCACTTAGAATTTAAAGATGGGGTCTATTTTACCCCTAATAAATACAAAATTTAAGATTTTATGCTAATTTTCCTAAAATTGCTTAGATTATCATACTATATTTCAATTTAATGAATAAAATTGACTCATCACAATTCTTCTACCCTCCTCCCCTCCCTAGGAATTAAGGAATATTTTTAAAAAAGAAAAAAATATTTTAAAATATCTTAAAAGAAAAAATACATATTAATTTAAAAATTTATCACCAAATAATAAAAATATGCTACATTATTTTAAAAATTTATCACAAAAAAAAATTATCACTAAATAATAAAAATATGCAACAATATTTTAAAAATTTATCACAAAAAAAATTATCGCCAAATAATACTATATTAATTTAAAATAACATTTAAAAAAAACATAAAAAAAATAACATAAAAAAAATAACAAAAAAAATAACATAAAAAAAATAACAAAAAAAAATAATATACCCCTCGACTTAAGCAATAACCTAAAATAATATATGAAAGCATGTAAACAATTTAAAATAAGACAAATATAAAACTGTATAAAAATATTTAAAAAAAAACATATAAGGTGGGGAGGGAGGGGGCAAAAATAAAACTAAGATAGATGCTGCGGAACACGGCGATTTGAGTTGAATATAACATTTTAAAGGAGGATCCATGATCCCCATTTATCTTCAAAAAAAATGGCCTAAGGAGTCTAGGGACTCATTGGTAGAAATAACTATTGGGATAAAGGGAAAATCTGAAAAGTCATGGTACTTTCCTATTTTTGACCTTTTGACTTTAATAATCGGATCAATGTTTGGGTTAGAGGTAAATTGGGAGACACATATGAAATCCCAAATAAGGTGTTTTTCTCTAAAAAAAGGAATGTTTGTGAGCTCATCTTGTCTTTTACCATCAGACAGGGATAATTGAACGGATTCTATGAGGTTTGGATAGTTGGCCATAATTTGTTCGAGATTATAGAGTTAATAGCTCCATGGCGATTTTACCTCCTTTCGATTATAAACAGGTTAGACCATGCCTGCACCCTTTACATTTATGTAGTAGACATATACCCTAGTCTATACCCTATAGTCACCCTCAGCTCCTCGTCGGATAGCAAAAGGGAAATTGGCACTAAGGACAGCTTGTCATTCGTGGCCAGAGTTTTGTCTCAAGTATTTTAAATAAAAATATTTACTAATTGCCCGGCCCCAAAATATATTTTGCTCCAAAATTACCCGGCGTGAGATAACTGATATGAAATACACAGTATTAAATTAATTTTATTATTAATATACTTTGAAATATGAATAAAAATTTTTAAGTACAAGAATAATGGTTATTATAATTTAAAAATTGAGCTTGTCTGTATCCTCATGTAAATAAACAGATAATTTTTTTTATAGATATAGATAATAACACATTTTTGATACAAATTTCATATTTTTATTTTTTTTGTAACAATTAGTTATCGATTACCAATATTGCATAATATATTTTAACGGTGAATAAGAGTTGGTTCTAAAAAAAAATAGCTACTCCCTCCCACGCAAGATCTTTCTTTATTTTATGAGTTAAATTTTTTATTGTATACTTTATTTATTTAAAAAAAAACAACTTGCATAAGATGTGTAACAGTATTCTCCTTGCATTTCAGTCCTGATTCACTGTTCTTAGCCCTATCCAGTAATACAGAGACCGTTCACGTTTTTAAGTTGGAAATCGTTAAAAATAGGTTTGTATTTGATTAATAAATCGGAACAAAATATTTAAGATTTTTTTTAATCACAAAAATATGTTTCCTAATATGCCAATCTTATTTTCTGTATTTAGTAAATAAGTAATTTGATATTTCAAATAAATTTTCCCCAAAATCGGGGTGAATAGTTATTAAATTAGTGGGAAGTATGGTGTATATAAATTTTTATTGAATTCATACTTTGGTTATCGATATAATAATCGTATAGCGCATTTCGATATAAATGTGTTTATTTGAATTAAGTATTTTTACTTAGTAATACATTTTGTCATTTCACTAATATTCCGCGTGAGTTAAAATATATAAATTACATTTTGTACTACTTTCTTTCAACTATTTCTCGTCCTTTATATATATATATATATGATATTATTTTCATATAAAATAAAAAACAATCATTATATAGTGTTAAACATTTTAACGCTCGCAGTTTTAATAAAATTATATCAGAAACTATTAAATTAAACAATATAGGTTACTTTATGGTAAAATTTTAAAATATTATTATTTATTTTTGTTTTTTTACCTTTTTTATTATTGTTAAAAACACGACACATCAACATTCCACCCTCCAAAGAAATCCTGCCTATGTTTTCTTCGGATATGTTGATTGGTAAACGCTATTGACGTTTATGATGAAGTTTTCTAAATGTTAAGGTATTCGTTTGATTCTGATAGGCCGAGCGTTGTCTAGAACCTCTCTTGTTAGTTCTTGTTGCTTCTTTCTCTGTCTACATCACACCTTTGCCCCATTTGTTTCGTCGCCAAGCAATACGTCATTCATGCTCATGGTGTGGTCTTTTTAAACTGAACGATGGCTTGGTAAAGCGAAAGCAGCCCTTGTGAATAGACTTCGTGAGTAGATACCTGGGGTCATCTTGTATAGGAATCTGCGGGAAAGCTTGCTTGCATTCTATTTTGGTAAATATCGTGCCCTTAGCATACTTTTCAATCAGATCGTTTGTGCGCAGTATCGGGTATCTAGACTAGAGCAAGGTTTATGATGTCCTTCAAGTCAGCACATACCCCCACGATGCCGTCTCCTTTGATAACAGGTGTCAATGGACTTGTCCATCTGACTTGAGACACAGACTCTATGATGCCCTCCTTAGGCCGCCATCCAATTCCCGTGTCATTGCATCAATCCTGGCATAGGGTTAGGGGGTATAATTTTAGGCACAGCATCGAGATTTAAGTGAATTTTCACTTGTCTGATCATCTTGGGTTTGTATGAGTGTGTTGATTCAAGGTTTTTTTTTTATTGTTGAGATCACCTTCTCGAGATCTTCATCTAAGTTACCCACAAATAACGTTTTTAATATGTTATTGAAGGTGTGGAACCATCATCCTAGCAGGGGGCACTTATCACTATCCACCACTATGGCCTCCAGCGTTTGTGTGTTTCCTTCAAACTTAACGTTAACACTGGCTAGACCTATGATCTTGATAGCGAATCCGTCGTACCCTGTCTGCTTCTTATGCGTACGTGTCGTGGCTATGCCTATAGTCTTAGCTGTATGCTTCGGAAGTATCGTGTATTGGTACCGGTGTCTTGCATCAACGTGGGTATGTTGTTGATGCTCACCGTGATGTTGTACACATCATATCTGGTGTCATTGACCCCCAGATTGTACACCTCCTGATTCTGAAGATTGTACTCTACATAGTATAGTTGGTCTTCGATTGACAATCACGATCTTTATAATCATAAGATCTGACTGTAATGGTTGGGCCTTAGCGAATATTTCGGAAAGCCATTAATATGTTGAGGGTTATGTCTATGCTGACCGCAACGTGGATAGTTGGTTCGGTTATGGCCCCTAAAGCAATCATCCCGTTGATCAAGGCTTTGACGATGGTCACAACGATAGTCGTGGCGGTTGTTATGAAAGTTGTACCCGCTATTGTTGTATCGATCATCGTAGTGATTGTCCAAAGGGTTGCGGTCTGACCATTATCGTAGCATTGATCGAAACGGTTATCGCAGTAGTTGTCGTGGCTTCCGTCATCGTTTGTCACGGCAGTTGTCGTACCGTATATCGTAACGTTTATCGAAGCGTTTGTCGCGGTAGTTGTCTTAGCGTGTATTGTCGCGTTCATAGAGGCGTTTGTCACGGTAGTTATCGAAGCGTTTTTCGTGGCAGTTGTCATACCTGAGCTGGAGTTGCCTGGTGAAAGCATCATATTTCACAAGTGATTTCCGAAGTGGATTAGACTGCTTGGGCTTCACAGTCTTATGGCTATTTTTAGCTCGGCTTATATAGTTTATCTCTTCTTGTGTTCCAGGTGATTCAGCCGAATATATGGCTTCTACTTTCACCACTCCCTTGATGTCGTTTGACTCCGTGATGTCTTCCTCTAGACCTAGATTGTAAATATCTTCTATCGTCATAGAGCACCTGACCGCTTTCCTGTCATCTTTGGAAATCGAAGCAACTCCCACTTTCTCGATAATGCGTTGAATGCCATCGAATTTGCATTCGTTATTGAGTCCGGCTACGCGTGTAACCCATGTTGAGAACGTCTTCTCCTTGCCTTGGGTGGCAGCATAAAATATGGAAGTTTGGCATTCTCTATCTTCGAAGGATGTTGGAGCTTGAGTTTGCTGAGAAGAGCTATCGGGTTCTGTAGGTCTGCCTCCGTACAGATTGCTCCAATGTTGTTAAACTCGTCATCCGGTAGACTTTAGAGAAACAACGCGGCCTTTTTTCAGTTGTAGATTTTGCTAGTGTCGAAAAAACTTTGCAATTTCCCTATATAAGCCCTGTCGTCGCTGGAAATCCAGCTTGTCGAATTCGGTCATATATGAGGAGTTGTTTGGAGCATCATAGTTAAAGATATTCAGATAAAAGCGTTATATTTACTTCATGCGAAAATGATAATGTGGAAAAACGTCGTCCAGGCCTCCATGTTAAATTAGTGGGAAGTATGGTGTATATAAATATCTTTTATTAAATCATACTTTGGTTATTGAAATAATAATCGTATAGTGCGTTTCGATATAAATGTGTTTATTTGTATTAAGTATTTTTATTTAGTAAATATATGGATTACATTTTGTCATTTCTCTTATATTCCGCGTGAGTTAAAATATATAAATTACATTTTGTACTACTTTCTTCTAACTATTTCTCGTCCTTTATATATATGATATTATTTTCATATAAAATAAAAAACAATCATTATATAATGTTAAACATCTTAACGCTCGCAGTGTTAATAAAATTATATCACAAACTATTAAATTAAACAATCATAGGTTACTTTATGATAAAATTAAAATAATTTTTTTTAAATATTATTTTTTTTTTCTTCTTTTTTTATTATTGTTTAATTTCGTAAAATGTATTAAAATCACTGATTATTTTTATTTAAATAAAAATTTCATTTAAATCGGATTTTTTTTTTTTAAAAAAAATTGAATTTTATATGTCTAAAACTTTAAACTTGGGAATTTATTAATAAAATCTTTATACGGCTTATTTATATTTCTTTATTCAAATTAAGGAGGAATGAACAATTTCATATTTTTATTCAAATTATTATTTGTTAATATTACAATTACAAATATATTCAAAATAATTGATGAAATTATTTTTTTTAAATTATATTTTTGTAAGCATTAATTTTCACTTATTAAACCGCTAAAATAATGCTCAAAGGGTATTTGTAGTAAAATTTCAACTGATGAATTTATATTTTTTTTATATAGTTGAATTTTAAAAACAAATCACTTGATTTATATTTCCATCCTTTAATTCTTATCGGAGTTTTGAAATTTGACTAAAAAAGTTTCAGGTTTGGAGTATTTAAAAACACGGTTTTGGTTCCAGTTCCTAGATTTGACTAGAAGAGGGTTCTAAGTTCTATTTTAAGCATAAATAAACCCTCTAAAATGAATCAAGCAACATTTTGAACCATATATGTCTATAAAATTTTGTGAAAACCGGTTCAGATTTCTGGATATTAAAATGGGTATTTATAATTTTTAAGAGAGGTGGTTTTACATATGTCCAGGTTCAAACCCCTGATTTAAATGATCTAAGAGAGGTAGATAATTTTGTCTTTCATACTTTTATAGACGATATATGATTCAAAATTTTTAGATCATCGCTAGAAGAAAATATGTCTAACCCCTCCTCAACCCTATCTAAATTAAACAATTCACCTACACAAGGTAAATCAAATACTTCGAATCAATGTCCCATCACTACAAGTTCTATTAATATGATGGAGGCACCTACTCATAGATCTTCCAATTTATTGAACGGGGTTATAGGGAGCGGAACGTTGGTTGATTACTTCAACAAGGTTAATTTTTTTTCTTAAGCGAATTATACAAGGCGCCCTATTTTTAACCGCATTGCATATTTGTGATCAGAGGGAATACTTTATTATTGATTTTGGAAGGTTTACGGCTTGGTCAAACATTTACGCTATACATTTTTTAAAGTTATAATTCTTGAATTTTACGTAATTTATTTTATAAAGAGCCGCGAAATCATTTAAAAATTATTATTTTTTATTTTCTAGGTTTGTGTTTTAGAGGCAATATTGATCAGATTTAGGAAATTCTATTAATTAAAGATCCCCCTGCCATTACTTTGGGAATAAAATTAAAGAATATACTTTATTTAGGCTCTTTCCACAACTTCTAACCTTTTACCGGCTCAAATGGGAGACATGTTATGGCAAAGCAGGGATTTTGCAACTGCCTATCTACCTTTCCTCGCTGTTAAAAATGTTTGCGCCGTTATGAAGTTGGTATTAGATTTTTAATCAGCGTTTTTTAATGTTAATTAGTCTCCTTTAATTGAAATAATCATATATTTTAATTGTAAATGTATAAAAGTTGCAGAAGCTATTAGAGAAGGCCAAAAAGGGTGTCCGCTCAGATATTGAATTTTGAGAAGCGCCTCTTTCAATTTTGAGACGCGTCTTTTCCAGGATATAGATTATCTTGACTCTATAATCCTCTTCGACATATAGCGTCAGAAATAGCAAAGTCTTTTAAAAAAGATAATAATTTTTAAAATATGCTTGTATTTTGAGAAATCGGTACTTTTTTTTCCTGCACCATTTAACTGAAGGATATATCGAATTAACATGAGAATAATGTAAAAGTAAAAGAAATAAATTGCACTCATAAACGGACTTTTATAAACTGATCACGTCCCATCTTAGAAAAAAAGATGGGACGGAAGTTTGACCTTCTCTAGGAGATTGCCCTGGCTCATTTGGTAAGGTCGCCAGAAATTTCAGATTTTTCTTAAATAATTTTACAAAAATGGGAAGTCTTAGGACTTAAATATTGGTAATTAAATATGCCGCGCTATGATTTTTTTTATCTTTTATTTTATGAATTTGTAAAACACAGAATAATAATTATCTTGAACGAAATAAGATAATATATATACTTCTATTTTTTCGCGCATATATATTGCAAAATAATTTACTCCAAAAAAACAAATTAGTAATAAAATTAAAAAAAAAACAATTTTACAATTACTAAATTTTCATTTCTTTTATAAACAAAAATAATATAAATTAAAGAATAACTGCTCATGATAATCAAAAAAATATTTGTCACAAAAATATAAGCATGAAAAGATAAAATTAGTCCAAATGTCTCACCGCCACTCTACCAATGGTCATTGCCTTTGATTCCATTCCATAATATGGTTACCCACTCTGGCCGCTTCCCATAATTATTTTTCCTTCATCATTTCTTCCAGAGTCTGAGCTCCATCATTAGCATATTAGTATCGTTAACTCTTTAGTTCCCCGAATCTTCTCATTTCCTTTAGTAATATCGATTGCGTCAGTGTTAAGAATAACCATATCCACCGATTGAGCTAGTATTAAACATAATCATATCCATAGATTGCGCCGGTGTTGATCACAACCGTATCCTTACTTGCGCCAATGCTGATAACACAACCATAGCTAGATTTTGATTTTGTTGGCCCATTAGATTCTTTCCTCAATCATGATTACCAAATTAAATTTTAAACTCTTAAATACTTACAACGGGTTAAATTCATTATCCCTCACAATAACAGGACTCGATGTCACTCTTCCGGGTTCTACCCACTTTCATATTTGGTCCCGGTGCCTAACTCCTCAAATTCCACTGGTAAATCTCACGCCACAATTTCTGTTCAATATTCTTTACTATAACCCCCTGACTCCTATTTCTTGGTTCCTCCAAAGACTCGGGCCCATAAAGTTACTCATATATAAATTTCATATCTCTCCACTTCTAACCTTTCGTTTGGTTTCTCTTTCAATAAATCCAACAAAATTCGGGTTCGCCTCTAGAATTTTATTGGCCTGGACTGCTCCACCCCTTTTCGGTTATTATTATAAAAGTAGGCATATCAATAAATGGGGGAGGGGGCCCTCCACATGTCTTACAGAGAATAGATCTATAAGGGTAAGGTATTAAATTAAAACAGATGGGGGGGGTGCTAGAGGGTAATGTCGGGATGTTGCCTCTAAGTTATTTATAGACCCTGGGCATTTTATTTACAAATCATACTGATCCGATAATGGATATGCAATAATCCCAATAATTTAAAAATTCTTAAATACGATTGACAAACAATAAAGGAAAAAATTATAAATCTTTTATTACTAATCATACTTGAGTCGAAATTTTTTAACGACTAACATATTTCAATTCCTAAAAATAGATATTATTGTTCCTTTCCTTATATTTTAATCATTTCCGGATTCTGGCTCTAGCAGTATTTTAAAACGGGTTCAGGTCGACTCCTTAAAATTTAAAATGGTTAGTTCTTTATGTGACCCATTTAGGGTTTGGTTTCAGACTTGAAAAGGTACTTATAGACATATCTTATTAGAAATTATGTTCAGAATGGAGGGGAGAGAAGAGGGGGCATTATAATCATTGTTTTCTATTAATTAAGAATTACTATAATTTTCTGATGTAGATATGAAATATTTTTAATTTTAAAATAAAACATTAGAATGGAAAACAAAATTTAAATGTGAATTGCAGGAATTCAGAGTTTTAATAAAATGTATTTTATGATTTTAAAACAGTCCGCCTTCAGATTTTCAAAAAACTTCGATACTTCAAGAAAATAAAAGACTTCTGCTAATAGCATCTTATACGGGAACCCTCTATATTTACGAATTTGACCAGGAGATCGGAGGCGATTGTTCGTTTGTTAAATCTTTCAAGTTTGCTAAAAATTATTTTATATGCGATCTTAAGAAATTTATTTTTTAATTTAAATCCATTTTTGAATAACCAGGAAATCGATTCATAGGCAATATAATTTTTTTTTTAAATTTACTAAATTAAAGCGTTTTTATAATTATTTTAAGGCATGCGAAAAATTAATTTCTGATCTCAAACAATTTATGAAATATTAATGATTATATATTAAAATTTACTTTAAAATCGTTTCATAAATAAGTGCTATTGACATATACTCTTTATAAAGTATATTATTATAAATATAAATTAGCATACCTTGATTGATTCAATATTAATTATAACAATCTTGACTGTATAAAATTTAGGGTTTCGAACCGTTAAGTATAGCGGTTCGTTTCGGTTTTTAGTTTAAAATTTTATAAAGGTTTTGTTCCATTTGAAAAAATTCATATCGTTTCGGTTTATAATTTATAACGGTTCTTTTCGGTTTGTTAGAAATCAAGTATTGACCACTTTTAATAAAATCCTATTTTATAATAATTTATTATTAATTAATATTTTCAAAAAAGTTTAATATAGAATATGACAGAATGGGTAATTTAAGTTAAACTATAGTATTTATATTTAGTTTAACATCAAAATGTAATTTCTATTTTTAACTCAATGTAAGTCTATTTAATATAAAACAAATAAATAAATAAAAGTATAAAAAAATTTAATGCAATGTTAACTTATTTAAACTGATTTATTGTAAGATTTTTTATTATTTAAAAAAGAACAGATTTAGAAAAATATTCATTACAAATGCTATTATTCTACAATCATATTTTCAATTTTGCATAATGCTAACTAACATATTATTAATAATAAATAATTTATGACTTAAATGAATATTAGAATTCTGAATTTAAAAAAACTATATGGTTATAAATAAAAAATTATACTGATCATTAAAATATTGCTGACCATTTTATTTATTGTCATTTAAATTCTATGATCCAAGTTTTTTTTAAAAGATAAAAAATTAACCATATTATAATATAAAAATAAAAATGTATTGTAAAATTGTTTTTATTAATCCCTTTTATTTATTCTATTAAGAAATTATTATAAAACAGTATTTTATTAAAAGTGGTCAGTATCAGGAATGTGAACCTGTCTACAAAAAAAAGGGCCCAGGTCTGGGTACAGGAATAAAATTTAAAAGGCGGGTTCAGAGAACAAATGACTCATAATAAGATTTTTTCTTCATCCATTTATTATTATATTTCAATATATACATATTCATAATTTACAAATGAAATAATTTATATTTTAAATCATAAGATCTTCTAAAATATCATCCTTGAGATTTCCACGTAAAGTAGACAATATGTATTTTAAAGATAAAAATTCACATTCTACCTTTACTTAAAAAAGATAGTTATCTTTATAAAATTATTATACTTGTGTCGCCGGTACAGCCATGAAGATTCTAGATAAGATATATATTCTGGATATATTGAAAGATTTTCTTCCCAAAATTTTAAAATATTTATATCCTTATTTATTCTCTTAACTTCCGAGAACTTTACTATTAAAGATGCAATAGGCATCTATCTGATGATAATTTGATTTTTTTTTCTCTATCTAAAATTAAAATTTAAAGATCTCAATGATGCTATCATTATTATTATCACTAGAGATCTACAAAGTTAGGCTTGGGCCTAATTCTATTTAAAATAATTGGGTTCGGGTCGAGCCGGGCCTAATATTTTTAAAAAAAATCGGGCCGGGTCGGGCCGGATTTTTTTAAAAATATATCTAAATTTATCAATTTTTTATTGAATTTTTTATGTAAAATAAAAATATTTGATTTTATTTATCGAAATTAAACGACATATAACTTATGTCTTTTATTTTGAGTAATTATAAAAATTAATTTCTATATTTAAATAAATTAGGGCCTGGCCGGGCTTGAATTAGGCCCGATGCAGATCACTATTTCACAAAACTACACCGGTTTAAAATATTTATAACGGTTCGGTTATGGTTATTGTTAAGAAAATTATAACGGTTCATTTCGGTTCGGTTCGAAACCCTAATAAAATTCGACATCAAAAATGCAATAAATAAGAATGAAACACTTTGGTTGATCTGAATTAAAAATTCTGCTTAAATAATTTATAAAATTTAAAAAAACATAATATATTTTTTAAGAATAATTTAAAGTAGAGTTTTGTATTACCGTTACTCATTACCTTTTAAAATGTAACTGTTTCTTTACATCACTAATATTTAGAGATATTTTTCATATATTTTTTTTGAACTAAGAAAATATAACATTAGGAGTTTATAAAAAAATATACAAAAATTTATTTCAATCACCAAACAGATTTATCAACATTCATAACGCTAATGATGATTTAGAAAAAACGACATCACCCCTTCCTCCCCCCAGTAAATACAACCCAACGTCAGAACCGCCAGCGCAAAATATTCATAATCAAACCATTCCTAGTTCTCAAGGCGTGGTGAATGTTTCTTCTAATAAACAGACATTTTCCTATGCTAATATATTGGGAAAAAATTATTCTTCATCCTCCTCCCTACAGCCTCCCACTACTAATCAATAAATAGTTAATTTTTTCAGATGTTTACAAGAAATTAAAAAATAAATCTGACAACTCAATCATCTGAATAATCTTACATGATTGTTCAAATTTAAATAATAAATATATAATTTCATAATAACCCAGGCGATAAGCAAAAGCTTGTTCAACATATTTTTTAAAATAAATCGTATTGAGCACGGAGCTCCTGAAGCTACCTATTACATCAATGTATAATCAACAATGTAGTTATGCAAATAAAAAATTTTCGCCACAAAATCATTCAAATTATTATGTATGACTATGATTAAAAATATTAGCTCTATACAAATTCATATTTTTTCTTAAAAGTGATTATTTATAAAATTCTATTTTACATCATGGTATACTATTTTTAAGGAGTTAAATTTGCTATTTGTAGCAATAATACAATGGCCTAACATTTTGAAATAATGTTTATTTAATTTCTATATTTTTTATATTTTATGTTTACTTAAAATTGATACGTTATAGTATTTTAAAATAATATATATTTAAATTGGATTAGCTTATCTCAAATATGAAATAAATATATAATTTTTATTTTTTCTTATTGATAGTACATTTATGTTAAAAATTTCTTATAAAAATGATCACTTGTATTTAAGTTTAGATTAATATCTTAAACATGGTATTTTAACCATATTTTTACTAAAATTAGCATAGCACACGTTTCAATAGTTGACAGAAAATTTTACAAATTAACATTGGATAATTGTGCAATTAATGAAGATTAATAGCAAGTAAACAACATAAAATTTATTTTATTATAAAATTCAGCATTTAAAATATATAAAAATCTAAAAGGAAACCAACTTTTTCATATAATGGCCAATTTTGAATAACCATTTGGATTTTTGATCCCCACTCGTGACAAAGCTTTTCCAATATCCTAATCTAGCCTTTTGAGCTTTGCCCTGGGCGCTATAAAAAGAGACGGCTAACTTTTCTTCGAAATTTAGTTTATCAGGGCTGAACAAAATTGTTTTGTAATAATTATAACGATTTATGATAGGGTTTTGTTCATAATCTGAGTAAAATTTGTCGAATTTAGATCTAAGTATGGGGATAATCGATTTAGTAGTTGTTTTCTTGTATTTACTAATTTGATTATCATTGCACTTACAGAGCCCCCTTCTTAATAATGCCCTATTAAATGACTTATTCTTAAATGGGGAATAATTGTAATAATATATAAGGCAGGGGTGATAAGTTAAAAGGTTTTTCATGGTAGCATTGCCAATATTTTCTCCCTCTAAATTACCATATAACTCCAATATTTGAAAGTATACTATGTGACCTACCAATTTGCTTTTACTGTATTCTATAGCTTTAAGATCTAACAATGTATGTTTAGCGGGTTCCATCTCATCAGATATATGATCAAATTTTTGTATACCCCACAAACTAAAATTCATCATCTCTTCATTTTCTGTAAAAGTTTCTGTTTCATTCCTATTTTTTTTTTCATTCACAGCTTTAACGACATTATTTTTATTGAAAACCTCTTTTATTCGATTAAGTATAGGAGGAAAATTTATAATTGGAATGTGCCTTATCATTATAGTACCTTTATCAGTTATTTTACCAACACGACCCCTCATTTTAACTTTGTTTTCAATGAAGGTTGAAGGAACTTTTTTAAAATCAAGATAGATTTGAGTTAAATGAAGAGATTTAATTAGCATATAAAGCCCCGATACTCCAATAGTAAAAGTAAATAACTTTACAATCGATGCAATAGTCACATCACCCATAATATATAAATATTTCTTCTTTACTAACCAAATATGAAAATTGATTTTAGGATTTTTTAAAAAAATTAAGAAAATAAATTTTTGAATTCTGCGTTTAACTTTCTGATGGAATTGGTTTATTTAAACTTTCTTCTTGAGTGTAAGTTTTTAATGTTAATGCATGTATATCTTTGAGTTCTTCTTTAATACATTCATTGACCAACCTTTACATGTATTATATAAATAATAACGATACAATAACAATTATTTTATATAAATTAATGCAGTTTTGCCAAATGCCTAATATAATAGTTTTATTTGGTTATTGTGAACATGAATATTGGAAATTTGGCTATTGTGAAACAATAATGTTAAAAATATTAGTTATAATAAAATCATATTTATAAGAGCCCTGCAAGATCTTTTCTTTGGCCAGAGCGTGATTTTATTATATGAATTACAGTAAAACCTGTCTCATTTGGTCACAGTTTGAATTAAGATTTTTGCCCAACGAGGTTATGTTCAACCATTTTCAAATAATATTTTTAATAATTCATCAAAAACATGAGAAATTATTATAGAATGATTGCATATAAAATAAGAATAAAAATTAAATAATTAAATAAAATAAGGTGCTATCTTTGTTGGTACAATATGTTTTATTTGCATGGCATTTGATAATGTCTTCTTTGGATTTATGAATAGTGTGAACAGTTTTTTAATGAAATATTAAATCTTTTAGAAAATTCTCTTGTATGATGATTTAGAAATTTAATAACCTAAATTTTTTTTCTTTATTAATTTTGTTATTTGACATGAATTGTTTTAAAAAGATGATAAAATTTTATATAAATGAATGATTGCAACAAAAATACTAAGGACTACTTTATAGAGGTCTTAAGCAAATAAAGAAAAAATTAAAAATATGCTTACTTCAAAGTAGACAGTTGCCAAATTAATCAAGGCATTTTTAGTAGTTAATAAAAATCTAATTGACACTAAAAAATTTTGCCAAATTAGGGAGTTGTTCGGATCAAATTAGACAGGTGTGACTGTATATTATATCTTAAAAAAATATTATCTTATTTATAATGATTGCATAAATCAGAGACCTGCAGAGGTACCATATGCACTACCCGGCCCGAATTTTATATTAAGCCAGGCCAGGATAATTTTTGGCCTGGTCTCTGATTTAAATATTCAACAATGTAAAAAGTTTATACTGTTTATTTAGCTAATATTCCAGGAGTGATATATGTTCTAATATTTCTTCTGAAATATGGCTGGTCGTTTCAAAATTTTGCTCATTGCTTTCTGAAGAAAGTGATTACATTAAATATTTTTTTTTATTAATTTGTTTAAATTTAAAAGTTTGTTTCACGATCTCCCCAGTCTCCACCAGAGTAATATTATATTCCCTTCACCCAAATGATGGCACTAATTTATTATCAAAATATTTGGATTTTATCTTACTTTTCTGCATATTCGTGACTACTACCCTGCTTTAAAGCCCTACGTCTGGCGTAGGCTTAACAAAATTAAAAATCGCATCAGGTTCGGGCTTAAATTTTAAAAAATTGGATCAAACATTAAAAAATTCTAAAGAAGGACCTTTTTCTTCTTTTATTAAGATAAAATGATAGTTAGAATTTTTCTGTATTTAGTACAAAGTGATTAAAATATGTTTAATTTTTTTTATTCAATTCAAAATTCGTATCGGCTAAAGCTCAGGCCTAAAAATCAGGACCAGGCTTGAGGCTATAAATCTACCATAAAATTATACACTTATATTTTTGAACACTAAGTAAAATTAAATTTTTTTAAAAAAATATTAAGTTTTTATAGAAATAAGCAATGACTATTTTTTGTAAAATAATTCTCATTTATAAAATCTGTATAGGTAAATAAAAATTGTTAAAATCATTTAGCATGACGATTTTGACACATTATTTTCATAGTGATGATAATCATTAAGGCAGTACCGATATTAAATATCGGATCGGAACCGATATTTAACGTTTTTAAAATAATTCGGACTGGGCCGATATTTTAAAACCCCGATCCGATATTTTTCTTTGTTTTTGATTATTTTATGATTGTATATATAATCATATAATTTTTTTTATTTTATAAATAATTTTAAAATAAATTAATGAAAGGAACTAAAATACAATTTATTTGTTATAATGTTTAAAAAAATAGTTAAAAGTTTTACAATGTTTTTTGTTATATTATCTGCAACAAGAAAGGGGATTTTAATACATCTAAGTAGTCACATTCAGCTAGTGTTGTTAAACGGCTCGATATAGCCAATTTCAAAAACATTTAACTCAAGATTTTGGCCAAATTTAAATTACTCGGGCTTATTGATTTTGCCCATAGATGGCAGAAAGGTTTGGACTTTTATTGGAGAAATTTTGAGTTATAATAATATTTTGGCGAAAATCTTGATTTAGCCCTTTTTAAAAATCAGCTAAATTAAACCGTTTCAGAAACACTATAATTGTAAATATTTTAAAAAGTGATTATTAACTTCTGGAGAATAAAAAAATTAGGGCTGTGCCGATCCAAATATTTTTCACCGATCCGATCCGATATTGGTTCAAAACCAATCCGATACCGATATTTATATTGAATTTTCACCACCCCTCTTTGAACCAAATGTAATTAAGAACAATATTTTTCATGCAAAAGAATTATGCATTTAATTTAATTTTTTTATTTCAACTATAATTTAAAAAAAATTATATTATAATAGATAAAAAATATAATAATGTATATAAAATTGTAATATTTAACATATAAAATTATAATATATTAGATTTTTTAAAATAAATATAAGAGCCTCTAGATTTTCAGGCAATGGATCTGAATATTTCCAAATATTAGTTTTATTAAGAATGGCTGATATTGTTGGCTGACTTTCAGGGCTCTTTTTTTAATAAAATTTGATTTGTTTTTCTAACTCGTTCTTTTTGTATTAGCTCTTCGAATTCCGATTGATGGAATCGCTTTAAATGTTTCCGAATATTTGTAGTATTAAATGAATTTTTCATTAATCCTCCCCGTGAAATTAGAATTCCGCAGATAACGCATTTTGCAAAATTATCTTTATCAAAATATTTCCATAATTCAGAAACCATATTTAAAATAATTCTTTTATTTAACGTATAGAATAATAAAATTGGTGTTATTTTCACTTTCTTACTTTTTATATGGTTTATTTTTCTTTTATATATACAAATGTTTATATTTCTTTTACCGTTTATTATTCAATTCAAAGCAATACAATGAATAAAAACAATAATATTAAAAAAAATCATATATAAAACAAAAAAAACTTTTTTCTACATTAATTTCAAGGCTTTTTATATCCCCCTTTAACAATAATTTATTTATAATCTTTATTATTATTATTTATTTATTATCGATATAACACGTCAATCTTCTTTTTCTTTTATTTGTTTATTTATTTCTTTTTCATACACCATATTATCGATTTTGTTAATTATCTTTATTCATCCCTAATATATTCATTATTTTTCATGCACCACCCGACTCGTGTTTATATCGCTGACTTTCACTTTCTTACTTTTTATATGGTTTACTTTTCTTTTATATATATACAAATGTTTATATTTCTTTTACCGTTTATTATTCAATTCAACGCAAATGAATAAAATCAATAAAAACTATTTTCTATATTAATTTCAAGGCTTTTTATATCCCCCTTTAACAATAATTTATTTATAATCTTTATTATTATTATTTATTTATTATCGATATAATACGTCAATCCTCTTTTTCTTTTATTTGTTTATTTATTTCTTTTTAATATCATAAACCATATTATCGATTTTGTTAATTATCATTATTCATCCCTAATATATTTATTATTTTTCATGCAACACCCGACTCGTGTTTATATCGCCCTTCCTTGACACGGCCCTCAGAAAATTCTACATTCCGTGTCCTGCTCTCAGAGGCTCCCTAATTCCAAATTGATCATGACTTCCCACCAATTTCCCAGCTCTCCATCTAAGCCTCCCACATCGTCCAGCGCTGCCGCGAGATCCCTTAGTTCTTCTGTCTCCATCAATCCCAGATTATCTCTCATACTTTCAGCCTCCGGGTTTTCGGGAACCGCCTCCCAAGCGTTGGATTATTCCCAAACACCACTTCGCTTGGGGCCTCATTCCCCAACGTTAGATCTACCAAAGGCCATAATCTTTGATCTTCCAGGACCCCCCTTTGCTGATGCTCTTGTTCATCCTCCAATGTCCTCCTCGTTCCCTGAATCTCGGCCATCGGCCGCGACTCCATTGCTCTTCCAATAGTCCTGATACGCTCCGTCCTTGTCCCCAGGATCTCTACTATTTACCACGATGGAACTCCTCCACTATTCCTCGATTTCGACCAGCAACAGCAAAAGGGGGTTCTCGAAGATCAAAGATTACAGCCCGTGGTAGATCTAACGGTGGGGAATGAGGCCCTAAGCGAAGTGGTGGTGGGGAATAATCCAACGCTGTGGGAGGCGGTTCCCGAAGACCCGGAGGCTGAAAGTATGAGGGATAATCCGGGATTGATGGATACAGAAGAACTAAGGGATCTCGCGGCGGAGCTGGAAGACGTGGGAGGCTTAGATGGAGAGCTGGGAAATTAGTGGGAAGTCATGATCAACGATTCGGAATTAGGCGGGCGATATAAACATGAGTTGGGTGGTACATGAAAAATAATGAATATATTAGGGATGAATATTGATAATTAACAAAATCGATAATATGGTGTATGATATTACAAAGAAATAAATAAACAAATAAAAAAAAAAGATTGAATAATAATAAAGATTATAAATAAATTATTGTTAAAGGGGGATATAAAAAGCCTAGAAATTAATGTAGAAAATAATAGTAAATATTAAAATACTGGGGCTTATGAGCCTATTCAAAGTAGAAGACATCTAAAGATAATTAATTAAAAAGAGCGAGTGGATTATATAAAATTTGGTAGGTCACTTATATGATCAAATAAGATTTCTACAACTGAGAGACAAGATATTATATTTCATTAATGATGAGATTGAATAAGATATTCTTTCCATAAGAGAAAAAAAATCATTTAAATTTTGTTTTCATACTATTTCTTATAGTCTAAGAAACCATTTTAACATAATTACAGGAAGAACAAATTAAATTGAGCTTTAAAATAAGAAAATTGGAAAAACAAACAACGTGAAACATAATACATCTACGAATCAAGATTTAATATAAGTTATGGGCCGATTTTGCCTATTTCTTTATAAATAATAAAGTACGTGCTGTTGAATATTAAGGTATTTTAAACGAAAGATAGACAGTCAATTCAGTTATTAGGACATTAAGCAAATAAATTACATCTTCCAGCAAGGTAGTTTTATATACACTAAATCTATAAAACATAATATGCATCTGTTACCATTCTCCAAATTTCAGCTTATTAATATAGGGTGTTTTCTTGGCTTAAGCGGCAATGTAGAACAAAGGATTTTTTGAAGAATAAATTAAAATTTATATGGAAATAGATTTACCATGTTAAAATAAATGATTTTGTTATTAATTAATACAGGGATTCCAATCGAAACCGAACCCGAAAAAGAAAACCCGGGTTTTTAGAAAATTTGAATCCGAACCGAACCTGAACCCAGTTTATAAAATTTTTAAAACCCAGAACCGAACCCGGGAATTATTGAACCTGGGTTCATTCGGGTTCAATGTATTGTTATATTTATAAAATTGTAAATACAAATATTAATAATTTAATTGAAATTTTATTAATATTTTCAAATTTCCAATTAGGTGAAGTGTTAATAAATTTTAAATAACTTAACACATTTACGTTATTTTTAATTTTTATTAATTTATTCTCAAAGATTCCTATTGGAGGTTAATAAATTTTAAACAATAATTCATTTACACCATATTTTTATTTTTAAGTAATTCTCAAAAATGATTAATTAAAGGAAAATAAAAGTGAACAAGTCAAAGTAAAAAATTATTATATTGGATATTGCTAATTTAAAAAAATACGTTTAAATAAAATTTTTATAATTGATACATGACTGCTTTGTACTTTTAACTATATTTTGCCTATAAATAAAATAAATTTTTTTTATACCAAATTTATATCTATATTTTTAATTATGAAATAAATATAGAATTTTTTTTTTATCAATATTTCTTAAACCCAAAACTCTGGTTCAAAAATATTTCCCTGAACCGATAAACCCACTTATCCCTGATTTAATATAAAGTTTTTATTTTTATATCAAAATGCTTAAATTATTTAATGTTTTAAAATTTTGTTATATATCCTAAAAATATACTTTTGTTTTATTTTACTTTAAGAATAAAATTATATTAATTTATTTTTTAAAAATCATAGCTATAAAGAAAATTGTAAACATTATTAACAAATAAAATGTAACAATATAATTCAAAATAAAATTGGTTTAATTTATTTAAAATCCTAAAGTATTAAAAATAAAAACATGATAACCAGATATCCATATAGAGGCCAAGACAAATATCCTATTAATCAGTATTTGCTCCCTCGACTTAAAGAGGAAATGGAATTCACATTTATTATGTGAAAAGTTCATGCGGAAGATAGCTAGTTCTTTTCTTGATGACACTATTAGACAAGAGACTCCTTTAAAGATTATTCCAATATTATTCACATTACACAAAGAAATGATAATAGCATGCTTAACTTTATGGAACATTGTCCAATTCAAATAATATTGATGGCTTAAAAACAAATGCTTGAAAATTTAAGGTAATAAAAGAAACAAATAAATGATTTAAGTTATATTAAAAATTTAAATCATAAATTGAAAAATGATATTAAAAATAAATATTACATGACATAAAATAAAAAAAGTCAAAATAAGATATAAAATATTTAAAAAAATAAAATATAATAAACAAAATATAAAAGTAAAACACAAATTAAGTAAAAAATTACAAAAAAAGTATAGATTATCTTAAGTAAAAAGGTAAAATATGAACTAATCAAAATAACGATGACTATCTATACCACAAACATATGAAACTAAATGTACCATCTTGAGAGATGCTACCAACATACCAGAAATGCACAGATACTGATGCAAGAGCTCAACTTAACAACATACTGAGGAACAACAAAATATATTTAACAAAGTGATGAGAAATAACAAAGAAATGTTAATATAATTGATTTTGTTGTTTAATATAAATAGTTTATATTTTTATAATAAACTAATTAAATTATTTAATGTTTTAAAATTTTGTTATATATATCCTAAAGATACACTTCACTTGAAAATTATATCAATGCTTTAACAAATTATTAACATTTTTTATAAAAACAGTTAATACAAAAAGAATGATTAAGAAAAATGTAATATAAAATTATTTGTAAAAAAAATATAATATTTAATGATTCAAAATAAAAGTTAACATTTAAATAGATTACTAATAAAATATACATACAAGACTAAAGATTTCAACACCCCAGATCTAGTATTAATTTAATATCATAAAGAATCAATTGTAAAGACATGGATAGTTATAATCAAAATAAAAGTTAACATTTAAATAGATTACTAATAAAATATACATACAAGACTAAAGATTTCAACACCCCAGATCTAGTATTAATTTAATATCATAGAATCAATTGTAAAGACATGGATAGTTATAAATTTTAATAAATCTATGCAAAAAGTATGATATTTTAGCTTAGCTGTGGAATAATTTAAATAGAGTTACATATTTTGAATCATATATATTTTTATAATTTATATATAATAATTTTTGTTCATGATTATTTTTTAAATTATAGATAAGCTAAAAATAAGAGTGGTCACATATCAGTGAAGTAAGATAGTATAGCTGCTAGATTATTCTGTAATCAACTGAGCTAATATTTCATTTAGGTCTGCAGGACTCTATTTTGCATTGCATATTTGATTTTGTGTTATAGCGAACTTTGACAAAGAAATTAAAATATATAAATAATTCAAGGCATTTTATGGAGATAGGAGGAGGGAAGAATATTAAAAATTAGAGAGAACCCCACCCCCATTTACCCAAGTTAAATATCAGTGACACATTAGTTTAAATTTTTTTGCAGTAGCAATTATCATATAAAATTTATATCCTTTTTTTGGGTAACATCATTCACATAACAAAGTTATATTAATTGTATATACTAATTAAAATATATTGCCAATATAAAACCTATGTCTTTGCAGGATAGGTTTTTTGCTGAATAAATTAGAAACAATGTAAACTTCAAAACTTGCACCACATCCACCACTTATATCTTTAATAATCTATGAAAAAAACCAAATTAAGAGAATCTAATTTGTAGTTACTATTTTTGAGTCTGGAAAAGATTTAAGAATTTTCTCTTTTAAAAAGAACTCTGTTAACATGACGAATGAAAGTATAAAAATGTTTTAACCAATGACATATAATATACCTAGACTGACGATTCATTCATTAAAAGTATACATCAATACAAATCAGCTGGGGACGCCATTTTGGTAACCTATAAAGCAATTATTCTCATGTAAAAAGCTGCTATATATTTTCTAATTTTTTGGTATTCTTGAAGATGTAGATTTGGAGAAACCTGCTAGTCATGTAAGCCCTATTTATTAAAATTCTTGTGAGATTTATTATTTGTCTATATTTTAATATTTATTACAATATTTATATTATAAAACATATTTTTATAAGAATGTTTCAAAAACAATTGACACTATTAATATTCTTGAAGATGTAGATTTGGAGAAACCTGCTAGTCATGTAAGCCCTATTTATTAAAATTTTTGTGAGATTTATTATTTGTCTATATTTTAATATTTATTACAATATTTATATTATAAAACATATTTTTATAAGAATGTTTCAAAAACAATTGACACTATTAATATTCTTGAAGATGTAGATTTGTAGAAACCTGCTAGTCATGTAAGCCCTATTCATTAAAATTCTTGTGAGATTTATTATTTGTCTATATTTTAATATTTATTACAATATTTATATTATAAAACATATTTTTATAAGAATGTTTCAAAAACAATTGACACTATTAATATTCTTGAAGATGTAGATTTGGAGAAACCTGCTAGCCATGTAAGCCCTATTTATTAAAATTCTTGTGAGATTTATAATTTGTCTATATTTTAATATTTATTACAATATTTATATTATAAAACATATTTTTATAAGAATGTTTCAAAAACAATTGACACTATTAATATTCTTGAAGATGTAGATTTGGAGAAACCTGCTAGTCATGTAAGCCCTATTTATTAAAATTCTTGTGAGATTTATTATTTGTCTATATTTTAAGTAAGAGAAAATATGCTTCACCAACATTCGTCAGAAGCTGACCAAAACCATTCTATTTAAAGGACAATAAATATATCTATATAATCTTTTTTAATTTAAATGATATTAGATATATATTGTAACTATATATATTTAAATATAAATAATATCTATAAATCCTTTTTGTAATTCATGAATATTATTTCTATTTATTAATTTATAATAAACAATTATTGATTTTCATCATAAGATTAATAATCTCATAATATTAAGTTATGAAATTCTTCAAAAAATAAAAAGGTAAGATTAAGCTAAATTTATCTGAAGTCTTAGAAATGTTTTAATTTATTTAATCTATATTTTTTTTATTGATAAAATAAACTGGATAATATAATATAAGGAAAAATAATTTTTTATTTGCAATACATAATTTATCCTAAGATATATCTATTAAATCAATATGATCCAATTAGCACAACTGATTAAAATATTAAATTCATATTGTATTTCTTTAATAATATAACATATTTTTTATAATATATATATTATTGAGAATCTGAAGATTAAACATTTACTTTATATTTAAAAAAAAAGAAATACCTCTATTTTTAAGATTCAGGATCACAACTTTAAAATTGAGAGAACTTTACATTTATTATTTAAGAAAAATATTGGAGAGGATGCCTAATATTCTGGATTTCTAAGTTATATTTTACCTTTTTATTAATATCATAATGTAAATTTTAGCTAGAATTCTTTAAAAATTAACTTATGTTTAGATGTTTAAGCCAAACAATATGAATATTTATAATAAAAATCCTGATGATTCAGTTTATCTATCACCTTGTATGATTCGAAATATTAAAAGGGCAAGTAAAGTCTCATATTAAGATAAACATAAATTTAAGCAATGATTTAAATATATCTACCTTATTAGATATTTTAAGAATAGAATAGAAACTAAAAACAATTATATTGTGTCTTAAGAAAAACAAATGATAAGTAAGGGAACTTTATTAGATACTTTATATTCTATGTATAAAAAAATGTTTAAAATATAAATTTTAATAATTTAGTCATATAATTTTAAATTATTTGAATTTGGTCTGCTAAATATATATCTTCTTGGAAGAATAGCCTTGGAATATTTGTGGGATAGGATCCTTGATGGTACCATTAATGCAGATGGATGTGGATTTAAATTCTTTGTCAAGTATCATAGGAAAAATTTCAGATATAGTAATAAATTAAGCTCTCGTTTAAAATTTTAATAATGATTTCTGTTACCAAAATGGCGGGTCCAGCTGATTTGCTTTTACGTGATACGTGATATATAGCGCTTTTGCCCTCTAACGTTGAAGATTCAACAGAGCTACGCTAGGTTTTCCTCATTTCCATCTAATTGGAACAATTTAATTTGGGTATAAAAATAAAAATATGAGGAGCCCTCCACACGTTTGTGGGCAAGCCGCACGTACTTGTAGGCACAACATTTCGAAAAATGTTGCTTAAACCTCTATAGGCTTTAATTTAGAGGGAGTGGGACAAAGAAAAAGCCTATACCCGAGAACTACAGTATAATTTAATTACTTTAAAGGTGGGTGATGGCTGATTTTAAGCTTAATTTCTTTAATGTAAGTTATATCTGTAAATAAATATGATTAAAATAAAATAATATTTACCACCGGATGAACCGAACCACATAATCCGATTTGCTTTTAACGACGCTTAAAAATGCATTTTAATGAATGAATCGTCAGTCTAGGTATATTATATGTCATTGGTTTTAACCAAACTTGTAGGCAATTTTAAATCATAACCTGTATAATAAAAAAATATTGCCAAGCAAGTTGCTTTTACTTAAAAATGTTAAAATTTAATACTTTTTTAAAATATAAGTCAATAAATTTAAATATATTGTAAATTTTATGTTAGGATATTACAATCTATAAAAAATAACCTTCATTTTTAAAATTTATAATGCTTAACATGGGGCATTGAAAGCTTCTTTTGGTCTTCTCTATACCCAGCGTCTACATGACAGAATTTTCACTGGATGCAAACCCCCTTCAAAAACCTTTATCTACCCCCTAAAAAAATGACCGCTCGGCGGCGTTGTCTCCTATTACTTTTACCTTTTAAATTTATTGATACTCTTTTCATAGAATTTATAAAGGATAACTTAAATTAATCTATCTCTACTACCAACTATCTATATTTTGTGAATATAAATAATTTATTTTTTAGAATATAAATAATTTATTTTTTAGAATATAAATAATTTATTTTTTAGAATATAAATAATTTATTTTTTAGAAAATAAATTCAATTAAAACCTTCATTATTTACAATGAATTAATTATTATTGCATTATGAGCTTGCTGAAATGATAGCAGAAAGTTTTATTTGGAAATTTAATAGATAACCCGCCAAAAAATTTATCTTACCACCATTAAAGCAGCCTACCCCCTACCCCTCTCAAAAAATAGGATGCAAACTGTTCCAACCCCTCCCGCTCATGTAGACGATGTCTATACCAATGAAATAAAAAAAAATTAAATTTAACTTTGTCATATAAAAGGTAATTATAGAACCTATGCTTAAATTAAATAAAAAGATAATTATAATCTATAAATCTAGATAAAATATATATGAAATGCAATAAAAATGACATTTTTAATAATAACTAGAACCAACCGATAAAGCTAGGTTTATGGGAAAGAAGGATGCATAAAGATCTTAATTCTTGGACTAAGTGGAAGTCAAGGTTGAAGAAATTGACATGGGTAATAACTTCCGACATTCAGATCACCCCATAAAGGAAACAACTTCTAATTCAAAAAGTTATAAAATATTTTGTTAAAAAACAAACACTCTAGACCCTTAAGTGGAGGTTCTAGGGCTCGAGGAACGACTCCGAGTTAGTGTTGTTAAAAAGCTCGATTTAGATCGATTTAAAAAACGGTCCGATTAAGATTATAATCAAAATAACATTATGTAAGCCTAACGATTTTGCACATAGCTGGCAGAAATGCTTTGACATCTATTTGCAATCTCGATGCTTACATAATATTATTATAGCTAAAATCTTAATCGAGCCGTTTTGTAAAATAGACCCAAATCTAGCTTTTTAACAACAAAAATAAAAAGGGGGATATTCAAGAATAAATTGTTGGTTTGTATAGTTATAATATTTATCTTTATAACTATACAAACCAACATTATAACTAGACTGTCAACAAAATTATCGTATAATTTAATTATACTAAAAAATATAAGATTTGAATTTGATTTTTTATTCCTTTGTCCTTTATCTTTATTCTTACATTAATCTCATTAAATGTATTAGTATATAGATTTTATTATATACTAGAAGATGTAAATAAACTTTTTTATTATATAATATTTAACCTATTTATTGTCTCTATAATTTTTATAGTAATCACCCCTAGAATAGTTATTCTCATTTTAGGGTGAGATGGTTTAGGTCTTACCTCTTTTCTTCTAATTATATTCTACCAAAATCATTCTTCAATAATAAAAGCCACCATAACCCTAAGAATTAATCGAATTGGAGATGTGATAATTATTTTATCTATATTTTTCTTAAGACCCAACAATATTGATATAATCTCTAATATTAATATATCTACTGCTTTAAATCCTATTAGAATTATTCTTGTAAACAGTTCCCAGGATGAAATTACTAAAAACAACTCAATTTACACCAATGGGCTTATAATGGGTTGAACCAGGTTTGAGAAATTTCAAAATTAAATATTTTTCAAAATTATTAAGGTCTTTGACGCTTGGAAATTTTATAATATATAATATGAGCCAGACATTGGCTAAAGAAATTTTTTCCAGGCCTGGATCCGGCCTTATCACAAAGAGGCGATTTTTTTAAAATTTTATTTTAGTTCTGAACTACCAAAATTATTATGGTATTGACCCGGGTTTGGAGAAATTTTTCAAAATTGTTGTGGGCTTGGACCTGGCTTTGGATTTTAAAATATTACATAGCAATAGGTAATCAATATTTTAACAAAGAATTTTGATTTGCGTTGAAAGCTAATTTAAATATATTTTCAATCAATAAATAGTATTCACTCATAGAATTAATTGTTTGGACTTAAACTGAAGGGGGAAGGTAAAAAGTATAAAAATTATGGTTTTTAAATAAAAGGTAACATCTTTCGTAAAAGAAGGAGGAAAATTCTCATTTCCCGTCATTTTTGACGGGCTATCTAATAGTAAATGATAATATAACAATAATTGACAAAGAAAATTTACAACAAGATATATCTATTGGATAATCAACGAAACTATTATTCAAGCCAAACCTAACTCTCATTTCACTTTAAAGTTGATTTAAAACATGCGAGTTTAAAAATTTCAAGAAGAAGGGAAAGTTATGGACAATATAAATAGAATTTTAAGGGACTAAATATTATAAATTAACAAATTATGTTTTTTTACGAATTGTTCGAAAATATATAAGAGCTCTTACTTCAGAACCAAAATATTTAATTTTTTTTTTAAAAAAAATTCAAATTATTATCTTAAAATATAATTATTATTGTTTTTAGGAACTCGTGAAACCAATTTAATTTTTATAGAATGAGCATTTCTGATCTTTGAAGATCGTAAATTTGAAGATCTTTTATTTTTTAAAATTTTGACCATCCATAAAATTTGAAGATTTTTGATTTAACAGAAATTTAAAGCAACGATCGGAAAGATGAATAACGATCTTCTAAGATATACATATAATAAGATGTTATAGTAAATTATTATTTTTATAATTTTTTCTTGAAGTAAATGTGTTAGTAAGCATGTTAAATTAAAATTATTCAATGAAGGTATACCCTAGAAAAGCAATAATTGTCATAATCGTTATTATTTAAATTATTAAAATTTTTTTGACGCATAAGGGTAAAAAGTTTGTATTTTATTTTTATACACAAACTAAAA